GCCCTCAATCCCTCTGTTACTGTGTCACTACACCCCACTCCCTCTAACATGTAAACTCACTGAGCAGGGCCATCAATCCCTCTGTTACTGTGTCACTATACCCCACTCCCTCTAACATGTAAACTCACTGAGCAGGCCCTCAATCCCTCTGTTACTGTGTCACTATACCCCACTCCCTCTAACATGTAAACTCACTGAGCAGGCCCTCAATCCCTCTGTTACTGTGTCACTATACCCCCCTCCCTCTAACATGTAAACTCACTGAGCAGAGCCCTCAATCCCTCTGTTACTGTGTCACTATACCCCACTCCCTCTAACATGTAAACTCACTGAGCAGGGCCCTCAATCCCTCTGTTACTGTGTCACTATATCCCACTCCCACTAGCATGTAAACTCACTGAGCAGGGCCTCAATCCCTCTATTACTGTGTTACTATACCCCACTCCCTCTAACATGTAAACTCACTGAGCAGGCCCTCAATCCCTCTGTTACTGTGTCACTATACCCCACTCCCTCTAACATGTAAACTCACTGAGCAGGCCCTCAGTCCCTCTGTTACTGTCACTATACCCCACTCCCTCTAACATGTAAACTCACTGAGCAGGACCCCCAATCCCTCTGTTACTGTCACTATACCCCACTCCCTCTAGCATGTAAGCTCATTGAGCAGGGCCCTCAATCCCTCTGTTCCTGTGTGTCCAACTTGTCTGGTTTCAACTACATGTCTGTTTGTCCACCCATTGTAAAGCGCTGGGGAATTTGACGGCGCTCTATAAATATCATAATAAATATATTTTGTAATTATTATTATTATACAATATATATTTATTTAAAACCCTCTTTTCCTATCTGTAACTTTGTTATTTGGGAAATGATTTTTAATCGTTTTTCTGTCCAACCATAATTTTCGTTTTTGCTTCCATTAAATAATGTGCTATGAATCCCTACTGAAACATTACGTTCTAGGACACTCTTGCAAATTTCTTGGTAGTGAAGGGGTTACATTTGTATCCATATAAATAATCTAGTTGGCCTTTTTAATGAATTGTGGCCATTTAACCCCTCAGGAGTCCTGATATACTAATTTTGTCTTCTCTCGCAGAGCTACGGCACAGGAAAGGCCCCGCAGAAACCATCCGGCCCACAACAACTGAACCTAGGGGGCCAGCGCCCGCTCAGGACCCCTTGCACTGGTTTGGGATCTTGGTACCACAGAGTTTGCGGCAAGCACAAACCACGTTTCGTGAGGGTGAGTTAATGATACTTCTGTGTGGCATGGAGAGATGTCCCAACTATTCCTCGTGGTCCATTACTGCCGGGGTGCAGGGGCCTGTTTATATACTTTATTTCACCGACTGTAGTAAAAGACACGGCTCATCAGCCAGCACTTCTACTGTGTGCAAATTCACAATCCTGAGGGATTAACTGGCAGTATTGGGAACCAACCCATTGTCACTATTGGCGTGTACCCACTGTCACTATCCAGGTGGCGTGTACCCACTGTCACTATCCAGGTAGCATGTACCCACTGTCACTATCCAGGTTGCGTGTACCCACTGTCACTGTCGTCATGTACCCATGTCACTGTCCACATGTACACTATTGGGGTGTACCCACTGTCACTATTGGCTTGTACACTATCGGCTTGTACCCACTGTCACTATCGGCGTGTACACTATTGCCATTTACCCACTGTCACTATCCAGGTGGTATGTACCCACTGTCACTATCCAGGTCCTGTGTACCCACTGTCACTATCCAGGTGGCGTGTACCCACGGTCACTATCCAGGTAGCATGTACCCACTGTCACTATCCAGGTGGCGTGTACCCACTGTCACTATCCAGGTGGCATGTATCCACTGTCACTGTCTTCATGTACCCATGTCACTGTCCACATGTACACTATTGGGGTGTACCCACTGTCACTATTGGCTTGTACACTATCGGCGTGTACACTGTTGCCATTTACCCACTGTCACCATCCAGGTGGTGTGTACCCACGGTCACTATCCAGGTGGTGTGTACCCACGGTCACTATCCAGGTGGTGTGTACCCACGGTCACTATCCAGGTGGCGTGTACCCACTATCACTATCCAGGTGGCATGTACCCACTGTCACTATCCAGGTGGCATGTACCCCCTGTCACTGTCGTTATGTACCCATGTCACTGTCCACATGTACACTATTGGGGTGTACCCACTGTCACTATTGGCTTGTACACTATCGGCGTGTACACTATTGCCATTTACCCACTGTCACTATCCAGGTGGTATGTACCCACTGTCACTATCCAGGTGGTGTGTACCCACGGTCACTATCCAGGTGGTGTGTACCCACGGTCACTATCCAGGTGGCGTTGCTGTGAGATGTTCTGTGACCTGGAGTTGGAGGTGTTTTGCACTAAACTCTGGTGTTTAGGAGATTAGGAAGTCAATGACTGGTTAAGTATGTATACAAGAACAAGTAGGAAATAGGCGCTAGTAATAAATGTCTAAAAAAGAGAATAAATATCAAAACCCAGGGATATCTCAAAAAATGACTGGTTAAGGGTTGTAGAATCCACCAACTGGACTGAAATCCTTTGTGGATTAATTAGTGATGAATAAGAGGGAGGCACTGCCTGGAAGGGGCATGTCCTGAGGAAGTGGCTGAGAACCCCGAAACATGTAGATTATTAATGCTCAAATGTGGATCACATCACAGGGGAAGATTAGATGGGCCGAATGGTTCTCATCTGCTGTCACATTCTATGTTTCTATGACTAGTGGACGGCAGACACTGAGATCCATCCCAGACAAAGGAGCAATGATCTTGCAAGAGTGTGGTACTATTAGATAGACAGACTGGGGCATTTGTTTTCAGACGACAGGCAAATGGACGAATGCTAATTACAACAAATAAAACGAAAAAACGAATGGCCACGCATAGGAGCATGTATACTAAACAGTGAGCAGCCAATGACTCACGGTCATAAAGACTAGCAACTGGACAGCTATTGCTTCCTAGTTGTTACTCCAATAGGACATGGTACAAGTCCCCCATGCCCCCGTGGTGGGGCACCTAATTAATAAAATGAAGGGCGGTATAGTGCCCCCTCCCGACCACCCACCCTGAAGAATAGAGGGGTGTGAATCAATTGTCTCACCCAGCCACCACCCTTTTATTGTTTAGAGCCCCTACCCACCACTACGGGGGGAGGCGACAATAGGTCCACCCCACCTTGATTCTTTAGAGCCCCTATGCGCCTATCTCGAGATTTACCTTTCAGAACACTCTGACTCAAGTTGTCTTATCGCTCCCTGCGCTGAGCCATAGAGGGGTGAAGATGGGTAATTTTTTCGTCTGGAATGTTTTTACTATGCCCCCCACTTATAAATCTGTTAGGTGCCCATGGGGGGGCCCATGCCAGGACACACACGAGCTGAACATTCGCTAGTCCCTTTTATTAATCTTTTTTTTATTTTTTTAATATATAACCCCCTTATTTCCAGCGCCACGCGGGTCTGCCTGTGCTGGCTCTGCCCCCTTTGTGACATCATTAAAATGGCAGATTTTTATTTAATACAATGCTTTACCATAGGGAAAGCATTGGATTGGCAAAAATGGTCGCGGGGCCAAATGCCGTTTTGGCCAATCAGCACCTCCTCATAGATATACATTGAATTAATGCATCTCTATGAGGAAATTTCAACGTCTCCATGAAGAGCGTGGGGATGCTGAACGGCAGTGCTGCCTAATGTGCAGCACTGAGCCAGGAAGCCCCTGAGGAGCCATCTGAGGAGTGCCCACCTGGAGGTGTCCCTAGGGGCAATGTAAACACTGCCTTTTCTCTGAAAATACAGTGTTTGCATGAAAATGCCTGAAGGGAGCTATTATACTCACCAGAACAACTACATTAAGCTGTTTATTATACATTAAGCTGTTTATTATACATTAAGCTGTTTATTATACATTAAGCGGTATACTGTACATTCAGCAGCGCCCGAGTCTAATATTAAATATGCTGCATTGATTTTTGACTGTGGTGCGCTCGTTTTCCAATTTGCGTTTATGGGTACTACGCTATCAGATAATTCTCTAATCGGGCCTTGAGAACACTTCTTGGGTGAGCAGCGAGGGAGGAAGGTAAGGAGTTTATTGATTGAACAAGTATTGGTGCAATGCTAATGTTTTACAGACGATGTATGGTGGTGTGCAGCCTTTAATAATACCCTGTGTGCGCAGGGCTGTAGTGATGGTTGTCTTTCTTCTCCATCCAGGGATCCAGCTGGCAGCAGAGGTCGCTTCCCTGCAAAGCAGCGTTGACTGCATTCAAAGGCGGTATGGAACATTAATGGCTCAGAAACGGAAGCTGCAGGCGAGCTGATTGGCCGTTGGAAAATGGCGAGCGCGAAGACTGCGTGCACTAACACTGTCTACATTAATATCTGCTTGATACGTGTATTACTGGGCTGAATAATAAAATGTATTTACTGCAGTCTCTGTCTGACCTATGTTAAACTAACTCTGTGAATAGAATGTGTGTGACAGTCTGTGAGCCCTCCATCTGCAGAGTTACTGATCTAAATTCATGGCTACCAAATAGGAAGCCACAATAGCCAAATTTGAAAACATGCAGAACTTTTCCAGTCTGGATACTTTGGTGTAAAATTCGAAAATTAATTTTGAATTCCCAGCAATTTACACTGCTGTGTAAAGTCCAGGCGGTCGCTCTATGCGACTGATCCAATTGTAATTTATTCTGGAATTAAGGTGCCCCCTTCCCGGCACAGAGTATACTCGATGAAGGCACTCACGCTACACTGCGAGGTCTGCTGATAGGAGTGTATTTGGGACCAGCAGCCACGCCGGCCCCTGTACATTCCCTCCTGATTTCGTAAACTATAATTCTGAGCAACATTTGAGTACTTTGAACATTTCCTGGCAGAGCGACACTTTTTTTTTTTTTTTAAAAACCACAAGCACTGTCATTGGTCTTTAATGAAAGAAATCCTGTAACATGACACAGAGGAACCGTGGCTGCAGTGAAAAATCTGAGTCAGTGGGGTTAGTCCGTAAGCGGCAAATTGCAGGGCCCTCTCTAGGTAGGGTTGATGTGTGAGCGATGCACATACAGGCGTGTCTTGTCCCCTTAACATCGCACAGAGTGACAGCTGCCTGTCACAGGAAGTCGTGGTCTGGGACGGAAATGTCACACAAGTCGCAGTCAAATTGTCACAAACCGTTAGCAGGGACCCGGTGTACAATGGCACAATAACCATGGCAACCAGCTGCTTCTAATGATACTGTACGGATGGCAGCCGGTGGCCACACCATGGACAGGGACGAAAAATCACACCTTGCGGAGGAGGGAGACGGCGATCTCTGGTAGGGGTTCAGACATCATTCCTGTGTACCCCAGGACAGAAACCACATTGGGCTGTAACAGAACACACAGGGCAAATTAATCCTTCCCCTAGTGCAGCCAGCCAGTGTCACTATACTTTAATCACTGTCCCTTTAAATGAGGGCAACAGAGGGGGACACTGTACCTTTAAAAGGGGATTCAAGGTGAGATATGAACCCATTTAATGGGGGGGGAGAGCAATAACAGTGATATAGAAAGGGTAGTAGATACCTGGAATAGCCTTTCAGTGGGAGCAGTAACAGTGATATAGAAAGGGTAGTAGATACCTGGAATAGACTCCCAGTGGGAGCAGGAACAGTGATATAGAAAGGGTAGTAGATACCTGGAATAGCCTTCCAGTGGGAGCAGTAACCGTGATATAGAAAGGGTAGTAGATACCTGGAATAGCCTTCCAGTGGAAGCAGTAACAGCGATATAGAAAGAGTAGTAGATACCTGGAATTTGGTGGTAGGTTGGGGTGAATGCTATGATTTCCTCAGACAGGCTGTTGTTGCCATAATTCTAGCAGTGAAGCCATCATTTGCTTCTCCTGACCCTGGCCTCAGCCATTGAAACTCCTTTCCTTACACAGGCAGCCGGTGCAGAGAGAGCGTTCACATACCACCGGTTCCCAGTCAGAGAGCTCTGGAGTAAGTAAAATGTGTTATTGTTACAGTGATGCTGTACGTCACTAACCGGTAGGTGTACCTGTCTGACCATGCTGTCTGTCACTAACCGGTAGGTGTACCTGTCTGACCATGCTGTCTGTCACTAACCGGTAGGTGTACCTGTCTGACCATACTGTCTGTCACTAACCGGTAGGTGCACCTGTCTGATCATATTGTGTCACTAATCAGTAGATGTACCTGTCTGACCATACTGTGTCACTAACCGGTAGGTGCACCTGTCTGACCATACTGTGTCACTAATCGGTAGATGTACCTGTCTGACCATACTGTGTTACTAATCGGTAGGTGTATCTGTCTGACCATACTGTCTGTCACTAACCGGTAGGTGTACCTGTCTGACCAAACTGTGTGCCACTAACCGGTAGGTGTACCTGTATGACCATACTATGTGTCACTGGCCGGTAGGTGTACCTGTCTGACTATACTGTGTCACTAATCGGTAGGTGTACCTGTCTGACCATACTATGTGTCACTGGCCGGTAGGTGTACCTGTCTGACTATACTGTGTCACTAATCGGTAGGTGTACCTGTCTGACCAAACTGTGTGTCACTGGCCGGTAGGTGTACCTGTCTGACTATACTGTGTCACTAATCGGTAGGTGTACCTGTCTGACTATATTGTCATTCACTAACCGGTAGGTGTACCTGTCTGACTATACTGTGTCACTAATAGGTAGGTGTACCTGTCTGACCATACTGTGTTACTAATCGGTAGGTGTATCTGTCTGACCATACTGTCTGTCACTAACCGGTAGGTGTACCTGTCTGACCAAACTGTGTGTCACTAATCGGTAGGTGTACCTGTCTGACCAAACTGTGTGTCTCTAATTTGTACCTCTATTACTTAGCTGAAGAGGAGAAAGCAGCCACAACCTCCCCCAAATCAGGTCCTAGAGGAGAAGGTGAGTAGCTATGGTGACTCCATGTGACTATCTAATCGCAGAATTCATATATTCTGCCTTCTCTGACCCTGGTCCCTCACTCCTGGCACCTCTCTCCTGATTCTTTCTGACCCATGGCACCTCTCTCTTGGTTCTCTCTAAGCACAGTCCCAATCCCCTGGTTCTCTCTGAGCGAACCCCATTCCCCTGGTTCTCTCTGAGTCCAGCCCTTCTCTGCTGGTTCTCTCTAAACCCAGCACCACTCCCCTGGTTCACTCTGACCCCAACCCCATTCTCATGGTTTTCTCAGACCCCAACCCCATTCCCCTAATTCTCTTTTATATTTTTTTGTTTCTTTTATATCCAAAAAGCTATTACATATCATCAAAAATACAAAATTTGACGTCCAAAACAGTCTCAATGCTCTTATTATTCAAGTCAAACATTAGTCTATCTACTTTAAAAATCAATAGTTTCTGAGGCATTGACAAACACGATGGTCTCTAGTCATTAGTAAAAACAGAGAAAAGCTTCAAAATACAGATCTTCATAATACATGCCATACATATAATCCATGTTACAGTACACCCAGGTATAAGAGGGGATAACACTGCTAAGGACGTTCACCTTCTGAATGGAGAAGCAGCTAACGAAAGCTCCAATTAGCCGAACAGGAAACATACAAAATAATCCACAAACTAAATAGCGGAACAGGAAATCATGCAAACATAAATCCCCCCAAGAACGAGACAATGCTCCGTGTTGAGGGTCAAGCAGTGATCTGTTTAATTGGGGCTACCTGCCCGGTATTTATGCAGGTCTTCCACCAGGTGGACACTCCCCAAGGGGACCTGTTGGAAAACTGTGACAAATATAATGCAGTAGCCAATGGAAACACTTTGGCTATAAACACTCCCCTTTTACTGTACAGAACCCTCCTCTCTATCCTGGAGATAATTGGGAAGTAATCCAATTATCTCGAAGGACAGAGGCAAAACTCCATTTTAGGCATGACAATAAAAATACATAAAAATATATAACTTGCAAACTACCGAATGCACTATACACATTTAACGTATCCCCAGATAGCTTAGATCTGAGCGCACATTATTACTGAATGGCGCTCAGATCACATACATACAGTTCAATCGCCATGGAGCCAGTCTTTCACATAGTCTTTCGGTATACGAATGGGCTCCATGGCGTAGCTATCCGGGGTAAGTCCATTCGTGTAGACAAAGTACCAAATGGGCCGGTGTTCGTATGCGGGATGATCAGAAGACGGGAGGTCGGTGGCTTCAGCAGTGTTCATGAGAAATAGTGTCCATTTTTAGTTCCATGAAATTGTCAAAGAACACCGCTGGGCATTCGTACGTCCAAGATGGCCGCTGCCTTGTGGTTGGCATATGAACGACGACCACCCAGCCGACATTCAACAATTAGGAAGTTAACCACAACATTCTAATAAGGCCAAGAAGGTTAACCAGCACCACACTTCCATGCTGGGTGGCCGGCTGTTTGGCAGTTTATTCTGGAAAAGGGTAAATAAACTAAAAGGGCTGTACGGACAGTCAATTAGACGAACCAAGGAGGAATAAAAGTATTTTAAAGACAGATGGGTCTGTCACAATTCATATTTTATATTCTGACATTTTTAAAGCGAGACCTTATAAAGGAGAAAGGTGGTGGTGGTGGTGGGGGGAGAATGTCCTAAGTCATGAGGGAATATATATATGGATTCATTCAGGGAATTCTCAAAATGTTATTTTAGATTGATATATAAAGCCTGAAGTGTTATACTGTATGCTTCTTGGATATCATTTTTCCAGGACTCCCTCTCCATCTTCAATTGAAAGGAGATCTGGGTTTTTAATATTCCCCACGTTGGAGGCTGACTCTGCTTCCAAAGCTTTACAATGTTATTATATATCTGTCTTTCAGAGACAATTTGGACCATTCAAGATGTATAAAGCTGTTTGGGGAGAGAGAGACGGGAATACCTGTGAGATTCTCTAAAATGTTATCTGTTAATTTCCCAAAATCTTTCAATTTCTGACAGTTCCACCAGATATGAGTGTAAGAACCGTCTGGTCACAGCGCCAGCAGAGAAAGGAATATGTAGGGAACATCTTATTCATTTTCTTTGGTACCACATGCCATTTGGTTAATATCTTATATTGTAACTCTATAAGATTGAGACAGTGTGGGGCGTGGCTTGACCGCCGAGAGAGATGGCTGCTTAGGCAGAGAGCTCTGCGCCCTGGACGATCCGAAACGCCAAGCAAACGACTACTTACCCCTGCTACCACTCCTATAGTCCTCACACTATCTGAGGGCAGGATCAGGCAATGGCCGTAAACAAAAAAAAACGGTAAAAAGCCGAGGGAAGGTACCCCATCCGTCGCCGACCTGTTCACAATGCCAAGCCTGCAGGCGGCTAAAGATGGCGGCAGCCATGTGAGTACGGGCTCCCTGAGCATCAGGGAACACAATAGCCTACCGCAACAAGCAGCTAATGCGGAAATCCTGCAATCTCTAGCAGAGGAAAAACACTACTTTGCTGTTGAGATAGAGAGGTCCGCATGAGAAGTTAAAGCGGAGATTCAAACAGTGAGCCAACGCACGGAGTCCCTGGATTGGAGGATGGATCATGTGGTGGTGGTCCACAACGAAGCGGCCACTGCTACCAACAACCTCATCACAAGGGTGGCAGAATTAGAGGCAGAAATAGAAGATGCCTCCAACAGATCTCGGAGAAACAACCAGAGGATAAAAGGCCTGACCGAAAGAATAAAAGATACCGAAATCCAGAAGGTGCTCACAAATCTATTCAAGGAGCAATTGCCTGACATACCAGAACACCTGTGGACCATAGACAGGGCACACAGGGCACTCAGAGCGAGAGGCCCCCCGGATGGACCACCAAGGGACGTAATCATGCGGTGGCACTTTTTCTCCACCAAGGAAGCCATCATTAACAGCGCACGGCACCATACTTACACCTTCGAAGGCTCCAAAATACATTTATATCAAGACATAGCGCCAGCCACGTTAGCCAGGAGAAGAGAATGGAAACCCATTGCCAACCTAGTAAGAGCCAAAGGACTTAATTTTGCATGGGGCCACCCCTTCAAAATGCTAGTGTTAAACGGACCGAGGCCGGCTGTACTCCTACCCACAGCAGATCCTAGGACCCTCCTACAAGACATAGGCATCGAAGTCCCAGGAGACTTTCGACTCCCCCATAGGGGCACCCATGCATTAGGGCAACTGCCTAGAGAGGGAGCAGCACAAGACCGCGTCGCTCCCTGAGGGGCCCAAAAGACCCTCTTCCCTATGGAAGGTAACTAAACAATAGACGGAGACGAAAAACCAAGACCCAAACCACAAAGACTAAATACCAGAAAAAACAAAAATAATACCAAAAAACAACAACAAAAGCGAAAAGGAAAAAAAAACACGAAAAACAACAAAAACGACAACACAAAAATGAGACAAACCTTAAAAACCAGTGACGATGGACCAAGAGGACAAGATAGAGAACAAGCCATGACATGACACACGAACGAACAAAAAAGAACTAAACGCACAACAACGAACATTGACTTAAGCACCTAACATTGGACACCGCTTGTGAATGAAGGATGAAAAGGCCTCCATCCCGTAGCAGATGCGGAAAGAAAATGAACGGGGACCACCACAAGCACAGCCAGACACGCAAGTGTATACCCCCCCCCCATGATGTACAATAGCGCAAACCCTGACTTAGGGGCGAGAAGAGTAGCCAGGTCCGCCAACAACTAACGGGACTCCACAAAAGGGTAAAAGTAGACTTATACCTCCGACGTAGGGGCCTGAGACTTAGCAAACCCAGCTATCTACTGGTTCCTCCCCTCCCCTCGCCAACCCTTTCCTGGCACCCATTTAGCAACCCACTACATTCCTCCCCTTTAGCCCCCCCCCCCAACACCTTCCCCCCACGCAGAGAAAAAGGCCTGAGACCCATACGTGCACTCAACAGACTCCCTTAACCCCTAGAGGAACCACTGGGGAACCACATCTGCGCTTCCAACTTGGGTCCCTACCACCCCATCCCCCACTACCCAAGCGAAGTCACCCCCCTCTGCACAACTACACCTTGGATGGGCGAGCGGCGGACCGGGCCTGACACTGACGTAAACGGGACCGTCGAGACTCGAAACAAAACATGGCCACAGTTAAAATCACCTCCCTGAACGTCAACGGCCTTAACACACCGAACAAAAGACGATTGTTAATGAGGGAATTAAAAAGACAAAAGACAGACATAGCCTTCGTACAAGAATCACACATACTGCGCTCAGCCCGGATTCAGCTAACTGATCATTTGTACACCAGGTCATACTCTTCCAGGGCTCTTGCAAAGAAAAATGGAGTAGAAATACTCCTGCACAAAAAATGCCCGTTTGTCACCCATACCGCGCTGACTGTTACCATTGGCAGGTATGTCATCCTCACAGGGACCATATACAATACCACATACCACCTGATCAACATTTATGCACCCAACCAACCAGACCCAGATTTTTGGGAGCAGTTACACAACTTAATACTCACACTGCCACACGGAATTAGAGTGCTGCGGGGAGACCTTAATTCGACGCCCTGCCCAACGGTCGACCATAGTAAGCCCACGGGAGACCAGAGGGATCAGCGGGTGGGGGGACAAGACAAGCTGCTAGCCCAGTTCATACAAAAAACGAAATTGTTAGACCCCTGGAGACTGCGACACCCAGGACAAAGGGACTACACATTCTTCTCAGCGGCACACTCAACATACTCCCGCATAGACATGTTTCTGGTCAACCAGGGAGGGATCCCATGGATCCAATCTGCATGAATAAACCTTATTACGTGGTCGGACCACGCCGATATAGAGCTCACACTAAGACTCCCGGGACCCAAACCACCATGGAAATGGAGGTTAAACAGCACACTCGTAAAAGACCCTGAGGTGACGAAACTTATCCAGGGCGAACTGATGGCCTATTTCAATACAAATGATACGCCGGATTTAACACAATCCACGATCTGGGCTGCTCACAAGGTGGTCATTAGGGGCACCCTCATCAAATTAGCGACCCGAAGGAAAAAACAAAGAGCTGAAGCCCTCTTCGAGCTCCAAAAAGCGCTGAGGAGGGCTGAAGCCAGACATAAACCTCTACGACACAGGGACTCCAGGACCTTAGAGAACTCCGTCACAAAATAAGGGCCACAGCGGTGGAAGATCTAGGGCGAGACCTAGTCCGTAAAAAAACGCCTCTACTACGAACGCTCTAATAAGATGGACACCCTCTTAGCCAGAGCACTAAACCCCAAACTGCAATTCAAAGCCATAACGGTGATACGAGACAAAAGAGGGCAGGTGATCCATAACCCTATGGAGATCAACCAGATTCAACGTATTGTGAAAGAGGCTCCAGAGTAAGAATATATAGCATAGGAGAGAGGGGGCAGCCCTGCCTAGTCCCATTTTGAACCTTAAACCAATAAGAAGTAATACCCGAACCTATTATCCTAGCTGAGGGATTGGTATAGAGAGCAAAGATTGCCTGTAAGATCCAGCCTTTGAAACCCCTGTTTAATGTTTGGAACATAAAGTTCCAACTAACTTGGTAGAAAGCTTTATTTTTATCAAGTGAAAGTAAGATAGTCTGTTCAGTCCTTCTATTAGATGGGTCAATCAGATCTGCTACTCTACAGATATTGTCAGAAGGATATCTCCCATTTACAGAGCCCTTTTGCTCAGGATAGATTAGGAATGGGATTATAGATTTCAATCTGTCAGCTATTATAGCTGAATATATTTTTATATCACCATTGATGAGTGAGATAGGACGATAGTTTTTAATCTGAGAAGAATCTTTGTTGTTTTTCAGTATGGGTATTATATTTTCCTGAAGTAATTCAGCTGATATTTAGCTTCTGCCTGAAAAGAAATAAAATAATTTGCAAGGTCTTTACATAAATCAACTTTCATCATTTTATAAAATATTCCAGAGAATCCACCTGGACCTGGGGCTTTATTTTTTTTAAATTTGATCTCTCCCTAATCCCACATATTATTCTTCCGTTATTGGTTGGTTTAAGTCCCTGATTTGGTCCTCTGTAAGTGCTGGTAGACCACATTTCTCTAAGTACTCTTGGATCTCTAGATTTGTTTTAAGAGTTTTTAAATTGTACATATTCTGATAAAAAGATCCAAAGGCTTCGCCGATTTCCGGGGGGTAATCGATACTTTTCCCTTTATTTGATATTTTGTAAATTCTTTGAGTGGCAGTACGTTTTTTAAGCTTAGCCGTCAGAATGTTATCTCCCTTATTTCCTTTAGAGTAGTAGGTCTGCTTTTTTTAAGCTGGCCTTTACGTTGTCTAATAGTCTTTGATTTATTTCTTCTCTGAGGTTACTAATACGGAGAGCTGATATTTCACAGGGGTTTTCGTTATTTATCTCATTCTCTTTTGAAAGGGCTATATACATAGTTACATAGTTACATAGCTGAAAAGAGACTGGCGTCCATCATCAGCCTTCCGCACATTTGGTTTTTGCTGTTGATCCAAAAGAAGGCAAAATAAACAGTTTGAAGCACTTCCAATTTTGCAACAAGCTAGGAAACAAAATCCTTCTTGACCCCAGAATGGCAGTCAGATTTATCCTTGGATCAAGCAGTTATTACCCTACATTGAAAGATTATATCCTTGAATATTCTGTTTTTGCAAGTATGCATCTAGTAGCTGTTTGAACATCTGTATGGACTCTGATAAAACCACTTCTTCAGACAGAGAATTCCACATCCTGATTGTTCTTACAGTACTTTAGACAAAATCTTCTTTCTTCCAGTCTAAACGCATGGTCTTGTGTCCTATGTAAAGTCCGGTTTGTGAATAGATTTCCACAAAATGGTTTGTATTGGCCCCGAATATATTTGTATAATGTTATCATATCCCCTCTCAGGTAACGTTTTTCTAAACTAAATAGGTTTTAATTTTTTTAACCTTTCTTCATAGCTGATATGTTCTATTCATTTTATTAATTTTGTAGCCCGTCTCCGCACTTTTTCTAGTGCCTTAATATCCTTCTTTAGAACAGGTGCCCAAAACTGCACAGCATATTCAATATATGGTCTTACCAGTGATTTATAAAGAGGCACAATTATATTCTCGTTTCGAAAATGAATGCCCTTTTTCATGCATGACAATACCTTACTGGCCTTGGCCACTGCTGATTGACATTGCACATTGTTGCATAGTTTGTTGTCTACAACAATTCCCAAGTCCTTACGTGTGTTGTTCTCCCTAATTCGCTTCCATTAAGGGTATACGTTGCTTGTGTATTCTTTATGCCGAAGTGCATAACTTTGCATTTTTTCAACATTAAATTTCATCTGCCATTTGAGTGCCCAGTCCCCCAATCTATCTAAAATACAGATCTGCTATAGTTAAACCTTTTTCTTGTTTAGCTCTAGTTCCCATTTGGATCAGATGACCCCTTACAACACATTTATATGTACACCATATTTTTTCAGGCAAGATGTCTGGGGTTATATTTTCATCAAAAAAGAGTTTTGTTATTTCTTTCATATAATTACAATTATCATCCGAATCTAAAAGATTCTCATTAAACCTCCACAATGTACGGGGCCTCATCTCCACCTGATACTTTATATCCCAGAAGATAGAGTTGTGATCTGACCATGTTATTTCAATAAGACCGATCTTATTTATCTTTTGTAAGAGTATAGATTCACACAGAACCAGATCTATACGGGAATATGAGTTATGTACCCTTGACCAATGAGTGAAATCTCTTTTATCTGGATGGAAGATGTGCCATACATCGTGGAGGCCGTTTCTCTTGATAAATCTATTGAGACTTTGTGCTTGTTTGACTACCTCTTGAGATATAACAGAACCCCTTGGTAACAGTCTTCATTAGTAAAGACTTCATTAGTAGTGATTTGGTTCTATATAATGAGAAGGCTATAATTACATCTCTGGGAAGAGATTCCGATACTGATATTGGTTTATGTAATCTATGGAATCTTTCCATTGTTAAGTGAGAGGATTCAGTTGTAATTCCCAGGGTTTCAAAGAATTCAAGCAGGCATTGCTCTAATTTATCTGTGGTGATGGTTTCAGATATATTTCTAATTCTTACATTATTCCTTCGGGACCTGTCTTCTAGGTCTACTATCTTGTTCTGCATTGATTCTACCTTTGATTTAAGTTGTTTTAGTTTGTCTCTGGTTTTGTATGAGGAAGCCTGTATAGATTCTAGGACTTATCAGATCCCATTGGGTTTCTAAGGAAGATTTTAATAGATCTGGGGTAATTGTTGTTTGTTCTGGGTCAGTGGATAAATCCACGTGTGTCTTCCCAGATGATAGTCTATCCTTTGGAGCTAACAGAGAGCTTATTAAGATTTTTTTATGTATCTTTTTGAGAATTGGGTGAAAATAACCTGATAGATTTTTCTCTTTTCTACTATTCTGTTCCCTTTCCATTTTTTCTCTATCTTTCCTTGTTAGAGTTTTAGTTTTATCTTTGCTGGCCATACTCTGGTATGTAGTTAGATTGGCAATCAAAGTAAAGGAGAAAGGATAAAAAAATAAATAAGAACATTTTGCGCTTTTGTACAAATGTCCAAGTGCCTAGTTGATTTCCCATATGGTTCATAAGCTACCCAAAATACTCATTTATATATATACTCTATGGACTAACAAAATGAATCTCAAAAAGCCATAGGTACTTCCTTAAAAAGAGAAACACCCCACATATATTGCTATGTTTGTTTCTTCTTGTTCATATCGACAGATTTTGGTTCTTTTTTGCAGAATTCTTCCTACTCCCAAATTTTTGTGTTGCTTCAAGACCTTCAGAGAATGTTGGATAACTAACCAAAAAATGCCTGTTGTAGGACCTGTTTCTTTTTTTTTTTTTATAAATTCTTTATTTTGTGGTGCAAACAATTGACACAGACTCTTGCGTTGCCCCAACAGCAAGTACAAGATAAGCAAATACATAAATGAACAAATAGAGGGCATGGTGGATCACTGCACACATTTTTCTTTTTTAGTAGTAGCTAGGTCACGTGGTTTTCAAACATGTCTAGGGTGTGTAGCAAAACTTAAGACGTGGTTGATGTGGGTTGTATATACATGAGTGGTATGCGGGTGCGTGGCTTAAAACTTGCTGGTGTGACTTGCGCGTTTACAATAAACAATTAATAAACAAGTAGGTTGTTCGGCTAGCTGGTATGTCGTTATGAGATTAGTGAGTAACAAACTATCTGAGCTGCGGCCTATTAGGTGCTGTACATGCTAGTTATCAAGATGCAAGGAGAAAAAACCAATATCAAACACATTTAAGATAGGGACAGGCTGATAAAGGAGTTAAGTGTGAGCGGACTTGGCATTCGGGCTGGGTACAAATCTTGCCGTTATTGTTACGAGGGACCTATGAGCTTGCTATATTCAGTAATGACTTAGAGCCTATGGAATCAGATTCTAAAAGAAAATAAGACAAAAAACCCTGAGATAGGAATCCCTAGAACGTGGCTGCCCTGTGTAAAGCAAGGTCCTTGCTAGACATGTCAGGCAATGAAGTGATTTATGCATTATATATGGAATTGTGCTGTAAAGAAGGCAACTGCCGAAATAAGCAAAGAGAAATAAAAAAAAAAAACGAATGCAAGTGGGCCTTGCTGTTGGGAGTCCACCCTGGGGTGCGTAGCCGATGTCGGTTAATGGCAGGCCTGCCACTCTGCTGCCCAAACATTTTTCCCCTGGCTGGTAATTAGTTGTGTAGTCGCGTGTATGAGTGTGCACCAGTGCAGTGTAGTCTTGTAGTTAGTGAGTGTGTGTGGGAGGTGCGGTCATTGGGAGTGTCTGGTGTATGATGAGATTGGGGCGCTAAGGTCGAGTCTTTCTAGCCAGGTGTATGTTAGTAAATCCTACATGGCATATCACATTAGAGGTCGACATCAATAAGATAAAGTCAATCATATTAAATTAAAGTAGTCAAATTAAGGTGGGAACAAAGAGTAGGTAACAACAGTAGCTAAGTAGCAATAGGGTTAATAGTGATTAGGCATATTATCAGCATTTGTAAGCGTTAAACACAGTTCGAACCGTTATGAATAGGTTTTGCATTGACTGTCCTGACCGCGTCTGGGTGACACTTGGAGAACGATTTGCAACATGTGTGGTGCCCTTGTTCGTGTCGTCTTGTCAGGTGTCCCGTGCAACTGCCCGTCGCAGTTCATGTGGTAACGGCAACGTATTGGTCGGGTGTGAGGCCTTGTGGTATGAATGGGACAATTCTGGTCGGGTCCCATCTGTGCTGCGGAGATACTGGGTTCTGGCTCCTCTGGCCTTTTGGGTTGAGGGAGTCCATAGGAGGAGCGGTGCCGCATCACACAAGTCCCGTACCTGATGCGAGTCTGTACCCTGCTGGACTGTCAGGGTGTGGGATGGTCGCCAGCGGTACCTGAGGCCCTTTTGGCGGAGAAGTATGGTAAGTGGCTGGAGGGTTCGTCTCCATGCCAAAGTGCTGTTGGAGAGGTCGGCGTAGAAACTCAGTGCCCTGTTATCAAATTGTAGGGGTGTCCTGCCCCGCAGAGCGTCCAGTACTGCCGTTTTGTCAATTCCGTTCCGGAAAGCAACTATGGCGTCCCTGGTGGTCCCAGTAGGTGCCTTTGGGGATTTGGGGATCCTGAAAAGGTAGTCAGGGTGTATGTGATCTGCCTGTGTGGGTGGCAGTATTGTCGCGAGCAGGCGTTTGATGACCTGTGGTAGTTCTGCATCTGTTATTTCCTCCGGGAGTCCCCTAATTTTCAGGTTGTTACGCCGTCTGGTGTCTTCGTGCTCGGCCATGCGGTATTCGTGGGAACGTTGTTGTATCTTCAGATCCTGCACAGTACGTTTGAGTTCCTCTATGTCCCCGGTATTTGTTTCGGTACGGTTCTACATTGTATTTAGGCGGGTGGTCACCCCCTTTAGATCTCCCCTCAGTGCAGTGATGTCCTTGTGGATTTCGTCATGGTGATCCGCTAATAATTGCTTAAGGATCGCCACTGTCACTGGTGTGGAATCCGGTGTGGTGTTGGTCGGTGGTGAGGGCTTTTCCGCCGCGTGGACTGGTAAGTATTCCTCTCCTGAGAGGTCATCGGAGAAGTCCGAGCATCCCCCATGGAGTGCAGCCATGTTGGCTTCGTTTGCGCCTCGGGCCTGCCTCCACATGTCTCCTATGGTGAGTCCCGGGTTGTTTTTCCCCGGGTTTGTTTTTTTCGTTTTGCGTCCCATTTCGTTAGGGTGTATGCCGGGGGTTTCTGCCGTGTTTTAGGCGTAGTTAGTATGGGTATTTTTCGGGTTTTTCTCGTTTGTGCCTCGGAGCTCCGGAGTATTGCGGCCGCTCGTCTCGGCTGTCAAGCTCCGCCCCCCGTTTCTTTTGTATAATGCTGGATTTCATCCAATTTATCTGCTTCCCTGTATTTGCTGATTTGTATCTTATTATTGTGACGAGAGCAACTTCGCCACGTTGCATTGGAGAAGCCTGGTTGCTCGCCTGTTACCTTTGGATTATGGCCCCATGTTACAAGACCCCATTTTCTCTGCAGAAAAGACTTATTCGTGATTTTCTGCCCGGTGTTCGGTAGATTCAATCTACCGAATGACTGGACCACCTGGGAGCTGGAGTGTGCCGGCAATTAGCCTCCCAGAAGCTGCGGTTAACCGCAGCTTAATTGACGAATACTGTGTGGCCGCCATTCGTATTACGAACACGGGGTCGCGGCCATTTTAAACACGCAAACGCACAGCGGTGTTCGATGCCTAACTCATGGAACTAAAAACGGACACAGTTTGGCGCGAACACCGCTGAAGCCGCCGACCTCCCTTCTTGTTCGGCGGGAGTGCACGAACGGCCGGTGTTCGGTAGTTTTACCTGACTGTATTATACCCCAGATAGGAATCCCATTGAGCTCATTCGTATGAGAACTGACTTTGTAAAGACTTTGGCTCCATGGTGATTGAACTGTATTTGTGTGGTCTGAGCGCCATTCACTTAATAATGTGCGCTCAGACCTGAGCTATCTGGGGACATGTTAAATGTATAGTTTTATTGTAATGTGTGTCACATATTGTATTTTAACAGTAATTCATGTTTTAATATCCCCACGTCCATAATGGCGATTTGCCTTTGTCCTGGGAGATAATTGAATTACTTCTCAATTATCTCCAGGGCAGAGGGGAGGAAGCCAGGATGCATTGTGGGAATACAATGTGACTGTGTGTCCTATTTGGGGAGTGTCCACCAGGTGGGAGACCTGCATAAATACTGGACAGGTAGCCCTCATTAAACAGATCACTGTTTGACCTTCAACACGGAGCTTTGTCTCGTTCTTGGGGGGATTTATTGTATGTTGTTCCAGTTTGACTGTCAGGAATGTAAACCTATTCATATGGTTTTTCCTATTCGGCTGTTTACAGCATTCATATGGTTTCCTGTTCGGCGGATTGGTGTTCTGCAGTAGCTGTGCCTGTGCATCTGAAAAGGGGAATATCGCCTAAACGGTTTTAACCCCTGGTGTACAAAACGGTCCGTTACAATTATTAACTATTATTAATAGTAAAAACAAAAAAAGTCATAGAAATCACAGAGTGATATATATGAGAAACAGATTTAGACCTCTCTGTAGGTATTCCATATGGTCTTCAATATAGGAGCTTCTCCTCACTTCAAATATCGAAAGGAGACAATTCTTTATCCTGTCCTCAGGCTGAAGCTGCATCAAAATCTTTTGTGTAGGGATATCTGACTGGTTTAGGAGCCTCCTCTATTCGAAGGCCCACTCCAGGACGTACCCACTTTTCCACGTGTCGCAAACCCAGAGACAGCGGGCCAAACTGTTATTTTACCTTGGGTGGTAGTAGACGGACTCACAGGAACTGCAGTAAAGCATAGGCCGGGCTAGAAGATGAGGTAAGGACAAAGCTTGTGGCGGAGGTTTTCTTTATCGGCGTTTCATCAATCGGCTACTTCCACAGAACGGCTACAAGAAGCAGCTTGTTTCTTCCCTCAGATACCAGAAACATGGAGCGCTTTTCCCCATGAGACTTCCCTGCTTTGGAACACGCTTCTACGTGTATGCGTGCGTGTTCACGTCATCCCCCCAAAACTACCATTTTACATAATCGTGCAACCCTAGTTCTTTGAACACGGCCCCTCTCCCCTGGTTCTCTCTGACTCCAACCCCACTCCCCTGGCTCTCTCTAACCCCAGCACCACTCCCGTGGGTCTCTCTGACCCTAACCCCATTCCCCTGGTTCTCTCTGACCCAAGCACCACTTCCCTGGTTCTTTCTGAACCTGGACACTCTCCCCTTGTACTCTCTGACCCCAATCCCACTCCCCTGGTTCTCTCTGACCCCGGTCGCTCTCCCCTGGTTCTTTCTAACCCCGGCACCACTCCCTTAGTTCTCTCTTTCCCCGGATCCACTCCACTGGTTCTCATTGACCCTGGCATCACTTCCCTGGTTCTCGCTGACCCTGCCACCACTTTCCTGGTTCTCTCTGACTCCGGAGGCTCTCTCCTGGTGCTCTATGACCCCGGATGCTCTCCCCTGGTTCTCTCTGACTTGGACGCTCTCCCCTGGTTTTCTCTGATCCTGGACGCTCGCCCCTGGTTCTCTCTGTCCTCTAATGCTCGCCCCGGGTTCTCTCTGTCCTCTGACGCTCGCCCTTGGTTCTCTCTATCCTCGGACGCTATCCCCTGGTTCTCTCTGACCCCAGCGCCTCTCCCCTTGTCCTCTCTCTCCCTGGACACTCTCCCCTGGTTCTCTCTGAGCCTGGACACTCTCCCCTGGTGCTCTATGACCCCGGACGCTCTCCCCTGGTTCTCTCTGACCCCGGACGCTCTCCCCTGGTTCTCTCTGACCCAGAGACATTGATGTATAGCTGATATACCCTGTCACAGTCCTCCCCTGGTGCTCTATGACCCCGGATGCTCTCCCCTGGTTCTCTCTGACCCCGGACGCTCTCCCCTGGTTCTCTCTGACCCCGGACGCTCTCCCCTGGTTCTCTCTGACCCGAGACGCTCTCCCCTGGTGCTATCTGACCCTGGACACTCTCCCCTGGTTCTCTCTGACCCTGGACGCTCTCCCCTGGTTCTCTCTGACCCCAGACGCTCTCCCCTGGTTTTCTGACTCCAGGCCCCTCTCCCCTGGTTCTCTCTGACCCAGAGACATTGATGAGTTCTCCATGTATAGCTGATATAGCCCAGGCAGACCCTGTCACAGTCCTCAGTCAGAAAGTGATGACACTGATTTGTCTGTTTACTCACACAGGAGCCCAGCACCAAGAGGATTAAACCGGTCACCAAAGGGTTGTCAGCAGCTAGCAGTTCCCCACAGCCCAAAGTCACTCCTCTCAAGAAACTCGGCCTCTCAATCCAGGTAATGGCAAATAGAATGGAAAGAGCAATTCATTCTAATGGCTGGTTATGGGGCAGTTAGTGTGTGAATGGCTGTGGATGGGGCAGTTAATGTGTGAATGGTTGGGGATGGGGAAGTTAGATACTGTCGGTTATTTAGTTAATTCTGAGATGGAACTGGAATAGAACTCTGGGGTGGAAGTAGAAGAGCGGATCTGAGCTCTGGGATAGGAGTGGAAGAGAGGAATGGAGCTCTGGGATGGAAGTGAAATAGCGGAATGGAGCTCTGGGATGGGAGTAGAATAGAGGAATGGGGCTCTGGGATTGGAGTAGAATAAAGGAATGGGGCTCTGGGATAGGAGTGGAATAGAGGAATGGGGCTCTGGGATAGAAGTGATTGAGGCTCCTAGTTGGAGCTATGTTCATTATGCAGGCCCTAATTGTGGCTATTTTTGTGTAGCGTTCTATTGGCTCCAAGAATGACAGTCGCCTATTCAACTTCTCTCCACGGACACGGAGCTGGGATCCAGGAACCGGACCAAAGAAACGAAGCAGCAAGCTGTGGAGTGAGACTTTCAGCAATGCCAGGGAAGAACTGTCTTCACGAGAGATCAAAAGGCAGGAGGTGAGTCAATGGACCAGATAGGGGACAATCCACTCAATGTTCGTCCTTATACAGAGACAAAGTATACACCAGGAATTGCAGTGAATTGAACATTGCAAGTTTTGTAACTAAGTAGCTGATATGAGGATATTTTCAATTTGCCCAGGTTTGTAGTTTGCGGTATGTTGGTTAGATATAATGTGTGTAGGTTGGGGTATATTGGGGTGGGTATAAGCGTAACAGAGCTCCCTGTACCCCGGCTCGGTACCTTCGCTTCCTAGCTGGAACAGTAGACAAACCTCAGCAATCCTGCCCCCAGTCGCCATGACTTGACTGGGGTCCTGGAACCACTCGGTCCTAGAGCCGAATGGGGAAACTCGCTCTATCCACTCTCAGGCACTAGACGACACTCAGTCCTGGGAGCTCTAGTCCTTACAAGGACTTTCCCCGTTGAATCCTCCACACTGGAACAAGCTGGAGTAGTGATTAGCCCTTTCCCCTCCCAGTAACCAGACGACACATAGTTCTGGGAGTAGAAGCTGGAATGCTTTAGTCTGGCCAGATGGCCTGCTTTTATACATTTATGGACACAGTCAAACACACCCACGATACTCCCACGCAAAACAGGATAATCCCTCCCCTGTACCTGGGAGATAATTGAGTCAGGAACTGTACAAACTCAATTATCTCCAGTTACAGAAAAAACACACAATTTATAAAACCCCACCAATGTTACATCCCCTGATAGACCCGATCTGGGTGACCAACATATCCAAAAATCACCCAGATCGGTTCAGGGGTTCGAGATTTACATTGAAGTAAGTTATTTGACCGACCGCGCAAATGGTCCTATACCCAAAACTGTTTCATGAAATCAGTGCTAGCGGTTGGTCAACTTCGGTGACATAAAAATGAATAAATTACCGAACATAGTCTATGTTTGAACCGTGGAGCTTGTTCCCCTCATCCAGACGAACTATTCCACCAAACAGTGTTCTTCTAGGATCTACAAACCGAACGCAGGCGACGATAGAAGTCCAGCAGTGTTCGGGAGTATCCATGTCCGATTTTAGTTCCATGAACTTGACAACCAAACACCGCTGCCTGCGTTCATGTGAACAAGATGGCTGCCACCTCGTAGTCGTTCATACGAATTGCGGCCATCCAGACGAACAATTAGAACACTAAGGTGAGAACCATTCCAAGGTGTTAATAGGGGCTAACAAGCTCCTGGGTGGTCCCTGGTTCGTGCAGTTGTTCGGTTCCCGAACGGTATAGGGAAATTACACGAACCAAGCCATTTAAACAGTCTTTTGCAGGTTTCCTTGTAGGGCCCACAGTCTGTGAGCAGGAGGCTGGCAAGCAGGCTCCTCCAGGAGCTCACGGCAAACACACGTAGGAAGGTGAATTTGTCAAAGTAAGGTTCATAGATTGGGGTATAAGGGTGGGTGGGTATAAGGTATGAAGTTTGGGGTATTGGGGTGGGTATACGGTTTGTGGTTTGGGTATATTGGGGTAGGTAGAAGGTATGTAGTTTGAGGTATATTGCGTGGGTATAAGGTTTGTATTTTTGGGTATATTGGGGTGGATATAAGGTTTGTAGTTTGGGATAAATTGGGTGGCTATAAGCTTTGCAGTTAGGGCAAGTATATTTCCCAAACTCTGCAACCTCACTCTACAACTCAGCTCTCTCCTCTCAACTCGACATCAAGGCATCTCCTACAATTAAGGGGGCGCTTGCTGCTTTTATTACAACCCTGGCATACCAAACTGACCCGTTAACTCCAGAAATGTTCCAGAACTGCTGACCGCTGCTGGTAAAGTCTCACATTGCATCTGACTTCCTCCACTATTTACAATGCTTTCCTATGGACGCTGGCGTCTTCTCACCATGATTTTCACAGTGAGAAGCACGCAAACGCCTCTAGCAGCTGTCAATGAGACAGCCACTAGAGGCTTTAGAGGCTGGATTAACCCATTTATAAACATAGCAGTTTCTCTGAAACTGCTATGTTTATAAAAAAAAAAAAAGGGTTAATCATAGAGGGACCTGGCACCCAGACCACTTCATTAAGCTGAAGTGGTCTGGGTGCCTAGAGTGGTCCTTTAACACTCCCGTGTCTGTCTCCCTCCAAGTCAACGGCGCTACCATCACCTCTGTAAGAAATTATGACCCTCTTACAAGGATATTCTTTTAGGGAATGTGTGACAAATAAGACACAAACACAAGTGTATAATAAAATGTATTGTTAATATTAATTTAGGATACTGTTACAGATTTTAGAAGGATATACACATTACACATTATAACCATATCCAGTACATAATCAAAAGCTACATAATAAAAGGGCAATACTTAATCATTTAAATGAAGATCTTCCCCTTGCGCCTTCATCTTTGGTAGTCTGGGACAGTATCCTGTGCTTGCTGCGCTGTCCTCTCCAAAAGAGACAAAAAGAGAAACAGCCAAGGAGCCCAACCTCCTTGGCTGTTGTTCTTTTAAAGACAGATTCTTGCAGTCATTAACTACAAGTCCCAGAATGCCTTTTCCCTCCCAAAAGTGGTTTATCCAGTCCCCCTTTTCCAGAGTTCTGTCTTTAAACACTTCTTTCCCTTTGATCTCTTCCCTCCAGCTATACTGTAACATTGTGTAAGATGTGACTATGACAAACTGCCTTTTGTCACTGACTTTTTATGTGACCACCTGCCCTTTGCCCCTGGCTTTTGGAGGAGCCTGATTGCCAGCCTCCTGCCTTATGACTATGGCCCTTTAAAAACATTATTTGGGCATATTGGATTGTAACACACTTTTTTTGCCCCTTTAATTCCATGAGAACATGTGCCTCTTCCCCTCCCCCTTTTTCCTGTCTATTGTTTCTCCAGCAGGGCATTGTCCCAGGGACACTGCCAGACCAGTTTAAACTGGCTGCTTTGTCCCTCCTTAATCTCTCATCCGCCCTTGCTAAACTGTAACCCCATGGCGATTTTATTCTGTTCATGGGATCTGAGCGCTGTTCGGATATATTGTGCGCTCAGATCCAAGCTATCTGGGGATAGGTTGAATGTGGGGGTTCTGTTCAGTATAATAGGAATGATGTATTTTTATGTATTTGTGGCGGAACCAACCTCGCCACTGGAGGAGCCTGGTCGCCCGCCTCCTGCCGCTGGACTATGGCCCCATGTTTAACACTGTTCTTTTTCCCTGTAGAAAGGCTGGTTCGTGCCTTTCTGCAGACTGTTAAAGTCACGAACACCGCTGAGCCGCCGACCTTCTCCTACCTGCAGTCAATTATCCGAACACCGGTCCATTCGGTACTTTACTGTTTAAACCATGCTACCCCAGGTAGCTATGCCATGGAGCCCAGCCGTATACTGAAAGACTGTATGAAAGACTTTGGCTCCATGGCGATTGAACTTTATGTATGTGATCTGAGCTATCTCGGGATAGGTAGAATGTGTATGTTCTATGTGATAAATGTAACAGTATGTAATTTTATGTGTTTTATTGTCCTTTGTCTGCATTGTGGTTAATGGAGTTTTGCCTCTGTCCTTGGAGATAATTGGATTACTTCCCAATTATCTCCAGGATAAAATACTGGGAGATACTCCCTGTACCTGGAGATAATTAAGTTACCACATCCACTTAAGCCAATTATCTCCATGATAGAGGAGAAGATAGACCGGCTGCACAGCCTAAATCAGTGGAACTGTTTTGGGCAGGCAAGCTATGCTTGCAGTCGGTCAAATCGTACATCCACCTAACGTTTGAACCACTGGACCAATAGTATGATTTTGACATATGTTTGTATACTGCTTATGCTGGTTCAGAATATGTGACTTTTATGTGAATTGTATGTATAGTTTGGAAGTTATGCATATTGTATAAAACTGTATATTTTACACGGCCCTTATGGACTCAAGCCTCGAGTGGACATTGGTTGGCTGTCCACTAGTTGTGCCCACCCGGGTATGCAAAACCTCCAACCTTCCAAAGGACTAAGGGCTTCCTCTGGTTGGCCGAAATGCTGTAGGCTCCAACACAATGTTCATGCTAACTTTGTTTTTTCTGTTTAGTTTTCCCTTTCTCTAGATCCCCAATGCATGCCTTTTAAATAAGGCACTGCCTACCTTTTCTGTGGGCACTTTACTTATAGGCGAAACATACACGAGTGTTCTGATTAGAGTATACATACTTTACTTACTTGTGTACAGCACTTATCCTAAGGAGAAAAAGAAGGGTATGTGTGCCGGCTAAACGAGTATTCACTGTGTACCTAGATTGAGGATGTTACTAGCCAGGGTTTTTGCTATCCATATCACGTGTGTAACTCACTATCTAATTAACTTGTCTAACCGTAGCCACCACTGTCTAACAATTCATAAACCTGCTATCACTTGCTTGAATAATATAACGGACAGCCATGAGAAAGCTACTACATGACTCGAATGTCTTCAACCTCCCCTAAAATTTAAGCCCAGATAGTATCTTATATAAGTGTTAACTACACTACTTGTCTCACTTTATACTCAAAGAAATCAACAATAATCGCAGCGCTAAAGCTTTACCCAGCTTTACCGATACGGTTCAAAGCTTAAATGTGTCCTAGTGTTACTAGGATAATGCTGGTTAAAAATGCTGAACGACACCCCAGACCAGACCAGACCACAATGTCAAGCAGACCCCAGAGCACATCCAAAGTAGAGATGACAAACAGTGTCACAGGTAAACAAACCACAATCCCACAATACTCTAGACACACATAGCACCTCAGGAACAAACCAAACAGACCACACATCTTAGCACCGTTAGAGGCAGCCCACCAGTCATGGCGGGAGGCACTCGACCTGGGCAAAAACACTTGGCCCAACACTCCCCACCTTTCAACTATAACCCGAGGACGGGCACACACATAGACCATGGATAGAGCTATAGCCTACCCAAACGTATAACCACCCAACCCCAGAATACTCAACCCCACGGCATATCCCAGCCTGGAAAGGGGTCGCAACACATCTATAGGTCCACCAACAAATCTCATACGCCAGCCTCACGGAGTGACAGACCCCCCCCTTCCTGTACACACCCCAGATGGAGACTCACAAACACACACCACCTCCTATCTGGGAAACTAAACACACCACACACACAACAACACGTCACATAAACCAAACGTAACATACGTGAAACCACGGTAAACTGTTACGCGATGTAATATAGTTCACCCCACCCCAGGAGTTACATCCTGGAGCCCCCCTCCCACTAAATACGGAGTCAAACGAAAGCAATTATAAACAGCAGCAGCAACCAGAACCACCGCACAATCAGGCACACCACTAGATCATAGCTCAAGCATCTTGCCAGCTACAGACAAAGTCAGCAATAAACAGGAACTCTGTGTACCTGACCTTCTACCCAAGCCCCCCTAATTTGTGTACCCTACCCCGGCTACTATGTACAAGCAACAACGAAGAAACTCTATAAAAATAAGACCAGGAAGGCTACTGTGCCAGGCACACATGAGGTACAATGTTAACAGCAGGCTCAACCTTGTTTTGTTAACTGCCAATGATGTACAATATGACGGTCATATTAATCCATGTCAATGTATGATACTCTGTCATAACAATAATCACAAGGACGACTGGTCCTAAAACCCTGTTACCCTCCTCCCCCCACCCCTTCTTCCTTTCTGTACCCCTATAACCCCCTTTTTATGACTTGAAAACAATAAAAATCTTGAATTTAAAAAAAAAATGCTGAACGATCTGCAGGTGACAGCGGCATAAGAATTGTGAATAACGAGTCTCAACATAATTAAACCGCGCAGTTTCCATATAGCCCACACTAGAGCAATACACCCTGTATAAACCTCGCACACAGGCCAACTGTGACCACACAACACAGCGCATTACCACACTACCACTGTCTTAGCATCCCTAATGTACCTAGCCTAGCACTGTTAAGCGTTGATGTTTGTTCCTTTTTTTTTTCTTTCTTTTCTTCACTCTATATTAATGATATTATTATTTAGCCAAGCTGACGATTTAGTGCAGATTACGCTAGTAACTTTGACTATAACGAGCAAGCAATGTTGACTCATGTTTTGTTTCTACAACTAAATACAAAAATGAGCACTGCTCAAATGCCATCACTGTAATATCGTTGTGATATGTTTAGGCTTACGAACGCTATTGTGGCAGGTTAAGCCATCTTGTATATCCATGCACTCAAAAAAAAAAAAAAACCTGTATATTTTCCTGCCTGTGATAATTAAGTTAGCCCATTGTGTTCAGTAATTATATCACAGGCAGAGGGGAGGGTTTGTGTGCCTTGGCTGGGAGTGTCTGACTGTACTGTAATGTTTTGATTGGCTATTCTAACTGCATGTCCTGTGTACCACAAGGTCCACATGGGTGGTAACCTTGTGGAAAAACTTGCATAAAAGAAAGCCCTTTGGTGCTCATTAAACAGATCATCTTGTACCTTCATGAAGTTTCAGCTCATGTTTGGGGGCTTGGAGAACTACACTCTGGGGATTGCTATAATCACTATACTCCCCAGGGTATAATCACTAAGCTCTGCTAAGAGCTTGTTCCTGTTCCTGCTCTCTGGAATTCGGCGAGGTCGACCTACTGGAAGCTGGACCCTGGTATTGGGTCCAGAGTGGGTGGAGACGGCGAGACCCCAACCAAGCTGCGGCGGTTCGTGGGGTCTGCAGTGGTTATGGTGTCAGATGGAATGCTTGGAGCCCTCGGAAAGCACTAGGGGCATCCGTCAACAGAAGGTACTCGGTCGGGGGGTGCCAAGTGGTTCTGTTACAGTGACCAGTTAGGGTTGGTTTTTTTGGGTAGGTTGGGTGCAGGCCTGGACTTCTTTTAGAGACAGGAGAGCTCTGCAGAACTCCCTTCCCTTCTCCATAAGACTTTCACCCAGTCTCCACTCATTCAAAAAAATCGTTGAAAACTCACTTCTTCAAGAAAGCATATCAATTAAACTGTAAGCAGGTTTTTATCCCCCACCCTCCATGACTCCTCTCCTGCAACTGTCAAAAATTACCTACTAAGCCCTCAATTAATGCTTTTCTATAGACATGTGCAATTCGTTTCGGACGAATTTCGGTCAATTCGGACATTTGGTTACTTCCGAATGTCCGAATAGATGAATTGCCGAAGTCCTGAAGTTCTGAAAGTACCGAATTTCCGAAGTGTCGAATTTCCGAAGTACAGTATTGCCTAAGTACTAATATATCTACCCAGTGGAAGAATGAGAATGTTACACTGTATACAATTTTAAATAAAAAGTATACAAACATAGCCAGGATTGAGCTGTAAGCATTTGCAACACGTACAACAATCAAGTAACATACATTCATATAAAATGTAAGTTATTTATTCATTCCTATCATTACATTGACTGGCTAAGTAGATAACTCCCTAATTCACACGGTATCAGGGAGCTATCTAATGAAAAGGTCTTTCAGCCAAATTTACTAATACTAAGTAAAGATTACTTAGTATTAGTAAATTATGCCCCTACTTGCTATACCGTGAGTAGGGGCATGTCTAAAAAACAAAAACAAAAAAAAAACCATGCCGCGCGAGTGGGGGCTTGTAACCTGAAGGGGGGACCTATTGCCCCCCCCCCCCGGCCCCCACCCCTGAATGGCGGGTGGGGGCCCTACAGTAAAATAAGGGGGGAGACCTAATGGCCTCCCCCTTGAGCGGTGGGTGGGGGCCCCCTTATTAGTATTTAGGGCCCCCACCCACCGCTCAGCGGTGGGGGCCAGGGGGGAGGACAATAGGTCCCCCCCATCATTTTACTTTAGGGCCACCACGCGCTGCTCACTGTTTACTAGACAGGCCCCTAGTCGCGGTATAGCGAGTAGGGGTATAATTTACTAATACGAAGTAATCTTTACTTAGTATTAGTAAATGTGGCTGAAAGATCAATTTAGGTCTTTCAGCCTTTTGGTAGATAACTCCCTAATACCGTGGGAATTAGAGAGTTATCCACTAAGTGGCTGCAAGAGAAGTGCCGAAGTTGCCGAAGTTCCGAATTTTGGAATGCCGACTTTTCTAACAACCTACTTCATACCCCTACTTTTACCCTTTGTGACACTATACCCCACTCCTTCTAGCATGTAAGCTCATTGAGCAGGGCCCTCCACCCCTCTGTTCCTGTACGTCCAGTTGTCTGGGTGGACTAACAGACATGTAATTGTAACCATTGTACAGTGTTACGGAATCTGATGGCGCTATATAAATAATAAAATAATATATTGGTTGGGTATAAGGTTTATAGTTTGCGGTATATTGGGGTTGGTACAAGGTTTGTAGTTTGAGGTATATTGCTGTGAGTATAGGGTGTGTAGTTTGGGGTATATTGGGGTGGATGGACATTTACAGGATATGGTAGAGTTCTGAATCCCTCTCGGTGGTCTGATTTTAAGTCTTTGTCCTTAGGTGATATTTGAGCTGATGCAGGGGGAGAACATGCTGATTGAAGATCTCAATTTGGTGAAGAAGGTAAAGTAGCCATTGCTGTCCCTTCTCTACCCTTCCTGCAGAGCATCATCCACCCCTCTTCTCCTGCAAACCCTGCAGAGCATAATTCACCTTCTGCAGAGCATCATTATGTAATTGAATCTCTTCCTGCAGAGTGTTGCTGTGCCTCGGCAGAGTATTCATATCTTGCATAGCTGGATGTCCATACCGCAGAGCATCGCTAGTATTTATTCCCGCAGAGCATCGCTGTGTTTGTTCCCGCAGAGCATTGCTTTCCCACAGCCTCTTACATCCTTCTCTCTTTCTCCCCAGAATTACTATGAGCCAATGTTAAAGCTGGAAATTCTGTCCCTGGACGAGTTAAATCAGATCTTTGGCATCATTGACACATTGCCTCCACTGCATCAGGGTGAGAATTTTCAATCAGTCAATCAGCATAGACCTGGACAACTGACTGACAAGGTGAGCAGGAGAACCCTCCTACAGGCAGTGCTCCTGCTCTCCGGCACAGCAACCTCAGAGCATGCCATCTTTACCAAGCGTTCCTTGATGTGGCCATGTTCAGAAGCTGCCATGGTGGCAATCAGTGGAGGCTGGGCATTGGAAAATTGATAGTTTCCATTGTGCCATGGATTGATGATTGGAGATGTGGTTAGTTTTGAACAGGGCACAGTATCTCATGGGGTTAAGTGGATAGACCCAACTAATCAGGGGTGGGGGCAGCGCACCAACATCTTCAAACTTCATCAGCCACCACTGGAGGAAGCCAGTATGTCAATGCGTGAAAGAGGAGCGCCCTGTGTGGGGAGGGTTCCTCATGGCGGGCAAACCAAACTGGAGTCCAGGTAGAGTAGAGGTGGGTGTTGCAGTAGTGCATCTGCATCATGGTGGAGCTGAACCAGAGGTGAGTTAACATCTCAGTATTTCAGATGATCTATTCCTAGTCTTTGGGGGAGTTATGTCACCACACATCGGCTTTAGATATTTTCCCGTCTCCCAGTGGTAGTGAACATGCTCTAATCTTTCATTCCTTTATTTAAATAGTTTTCTGGTTTTATCCTGGTGTGCCCTCAGTCAGCACCATTTCACTTGTTGTGTCTAACATCGGGTTTCATCCCTCTACATCCAGGGATTAGAAATGGTGGCCCATTGTATTTCTTCGCACTACTATTTATTTTCCCAGCTGGTTTATTTAACCGGATGATCGAGGACGATGCTGTGCTGTGTTTTGTACAGGTGGATTGCTACCCTTGTAGTGACATAGTTTGCTTTACCATGTATCCGCACGCAGATTTGCTGGAGCGCTTGGCAAGATTACGGCATGATGACGGCAGAGTGCAGCAGATTGGACCTACCTTGATGGAATGGGTAAGTTTGACCTGGGATCTTTACAGCGGGAAACCGTTGGTGAGACAAGTATACTTGTAATTGTGATTATTCTGTTTCCAGCTGCCCTGCCTCAACTCCTATAGCACCTACTGCTGTAACCAAGTGGCGGCCAAAGCCCTACTGGACCACAAGAGGAATAGTGCCCCTGTGCAGAACTTTCTGCGTCTGTGCCAGGAATCTGCCTTCAGCCGCAAGCTGGATGTCTGGAGCTTCTTGGACCTGCCCCGGAGCCGGCTGGTGAAATACCCACTTCTGCTGAAGGAATTACTAAAACACACAGCGCTGGATCATCCAGATCACACTCCGCTCAGCCAGTCTGTGAGTTCATTACTGTGTTAGGCTTGGGTAGGCAATGCAGCCCATTACTGTGCCAGGCAACACAACCCATTACTGTGCAAGGCTTCGGTAGGCAATGCAGCCCATAACTGTGCCAGGCAACACAACCCATTACTGTGCAAGGCTTCGGTAGGTAACAGGACCCATTAATGTGCCAGGGTTGGGTAGATAACAGGACCCATTACTGTGCCAGGCTTGGGTAGGTAACACATTCCATTTACATAATGTAGAAAAAGTCAAGATTATTATTGGACCTGCAGCCATTACACTCATTGGCAGGAAAGCAAATTAGTGAGAAATATTAGCATAATGCCATCATAATCATCCATAACCCCTGACCTGTGCTGCTAGGTGTGTATGATCCAGGAGATTGTCAGCTGGATTAACCGCAAGACGGGAGAAGCAGAGTGTGAATACTATCGAAGGCGGCTGTCCTATCTGTATGAAAATCAGGATGAGGGAGATGTGGCTCGCTCATGCCTGTTGCACTGCCATGGAGAGCTTAAGAACAACAAAGGGCAGGTGGGTGACTTGTTTCCTACCATAGCATCCTTTTCTCTGTGTACTGGCTGAGCTTTCTGTGCCACAAATATCTCAATTCCTGCAGGTATTCACTTCCCAAGAAGATACATAGAATGTGACGGCAGATAAGAACCATTCTCTAATTTAAGACTATGTCCTCTTGTTGTGGTAGTTTTTCTTCTTTTAAATATAGTCTCCTCCCTTACTGTGTTGATTCCCTTTATGTATTTAAATGTTTCTATCATATCCCCCCTGTCTCGTATTTCCTCCAAGCTATACATGTTAAGATCCTTTAACCTTTCCTGGTAAGTTTTATCCCGCAATCCATGAACCAGTTTAGTAGCTCTTCTCTGAACCAGTGGCGTACATACCAGGGTCGCGGCCATGACCCGAACCCAGCCCACCAGGGGACCCGGCCGCCCTGCGACCCGGTATGTACCCAGTGTGGCCAGCCACTTCTCCTGAAGGGCCCAGGAGCTGGCCCCCTCCCCCAAGTGCTCCCTCTTCAGCTCCCTCGCGCACCGCACTGATACTGGAGCCTGTCGATGACGTCATTTTCTGGCTCTGGCATCAGTACGCAGGGCGTGAGGGAGCTGAACAGGAAGCACTCAGGGTACAGTGCTCCCTCGCGCGCCCGCCAGCTTGTCAGACAGCCAGCCCGCAGGACCGGCCACCCAGGAGCACCACTGGGCCCCAGGGAATCCCCTCAGCTCTCCCAAAGGTAGGGAGGCTGGGGGATAAAATTAAAAAAAAAAAAACGTGTATGAGTGTGAGTGTTAGTGCGTGTGTTACTGAGTATGTTAGTTTGTGTGCATCTGTTAGTGAGTGTGTTTTGTGAGTGAGTGTGTGTCTGTCTGTCAGTGAGTGTGTGTCTGTCAGTAAATGTGTGTGTCTGTTAGCTAGTATGTATGCGTCTGTTCGTGAGAGTGTGTGTGTCTTAAGCACTTACCTTTCTCCAGGCCCGGATTCCCTTGGCACTGGGGATCTCTCCGCCCCGATCCACCTCTCAGCTCCGAATGCGCATGCGTGGCAAGAGCCAGGCGCGCATTCAAACCACCCATAGGAAAGCATTACTCAATGCTTTCCTATGGACGTTCAGCGCCTTCTCACTGTGAGAATAAGACAGCCACTAGAGGCTGGATTAATCCTCAGTGAAACATCACAGTTTCCCTGAAACTGCTATGTTTTCAGCTGCAGGGTTTAAACTTGAGGCACCTGGCACCCAGACCACTTCATTGAGCTGATGTGATCTGGGTGTCTGTAGTGGTCCTTTAAAGGACCACTATAGTGCCAGGAAAACATACTCGTTTTCCTGGCACTATAGTGCCCTGAGGGTGCCCCCACCCTCAGGGACCCCCTCCCGCCCGGCTCTGGAAGGGGGAAAGGGGTTTAAACTTACCTTTTTCCAGCGCTGGGCGGAGAGCTCTCCTTCTCTCCTCCTCCGTTCCGCCCCGTCGGCTGAATGCGCACGCGCGGCAAGAGCTGCGCGCGCATTCAGCCGGTCACATAGGAAAGCATTCATAATGCTTTCCTATGGACGCTGGCGTGCTCTCACTGTGAAAATCACAGTGAGAAGCACGCAAGCGCCTCTAGTGGCCGTCAATGAGACAGCCACTAGAGGATTAGGGGGAAGGCTTAACCCATTCATAAACATAGCAGTTTCTCTGAAACTGCTATGTTTATGAAAAAATGGGTTAACCCTAGAAGGACCTGGCACCCAGACCACTTCATTAAGCTGAAGTTGTCTGGGTGCCTAGAGTGGTCCTTTAAGTGTATGTGTATCTGTATGCACCGGCGTACATATCGCGGTCACAGCCCTGCGACCAGGTGCCCGCTGCCATGTGTTGCGGCCCCAGCCCCAGCCCGCGAAGAGTAAAATGGACCAGTTTTCGCACCGGGGCCCCATGGGTTGTGTGTACGTCACTGCTCTGAACTCTCTCTAAAGTATCAATATCCTTCTGGAGATATGGTCTCCAGTACTGCGTACAATACTCCAAGTGAGGTCTCACCAGTGTTCTGTACAATGGCATTAGCACTTCTCTCTTTCTACTGCTAATAACTCTCCCTATAAAACCAAGCATTCTGCTAGCATTTCCTGCTGCTCTATTACATTGTCTGCCTACCTTTAAGTCATCAGAAATAATCACCCCTAAATCCCTTTCCTCAGATGTTGAGGTTAGGACTGTATCAAATATTCTGTACTCTGCCCTTGGGTTTTTATGTCCAAGATGCATTATCTTGCAGTTATCCACATTAAATGTCAGTTGCCACAACTCTGACCATTTTTCTAGTTTACCATATCATTTGCCATTTGGCTTATCCCTCCTGGAACATCAACCCTGTTACATATTTTAGTATCATCAGCAAAAAGACATACCTTACCATCAAGACTTTCTGCAATATCACTAATAAAAATATTAAAGAGAATGGGTCCAAGTACAGATCCCTGAGGTACCCCGCTGGTGACAAGCCCATGCTTCGAATATATTCCATTAACTACAACCCTCTGTTGCCTGTCACTCAGCCACTGCCTTACCCATTCAACAATATTGGAATCCAAACTTAAAGATTGCAGTTTTTTGATAAGCCTTCTATGTGCAACACTGTCAAAAGCCTTACTGAAATCTAGGTAAGCAATGTCTACTGGACCACCCTGATTTATAATTTTAGTTACCCAATCAAAAAAATCGATAAGATTAGTTTGGCATGATCTCCCTGAAGTAAACCCATGTTGTCTCTGATCTTGAAATCCATGTGTTTTTAGATGTTCATCAATCCTAACCTTTAACATGGTTTCCATCACTTTCCCTACTACTGAAGTAAGGCTTACTGGCCTATAGTTGCCCGACTCCTCCCTACTACCTTTCTTGTGAATGGGCACAACATTCGCTAACTTCCAATCTTCTGGGACTATTCCTGTTAACAATGATTGGTTAAATAAATCTGTTATTGGTTTTGCTAGTACACCACTAAGCTCTTTTAATAACTTTGGGTGTATTCCATCAGGCCCCATTGACTTATTTGTCTTTACTTTTGACAGTTGAGCTGAGTGCTTCATCTTAGAGCTGTTAATGGAACACTATAGGGTCAGGAACACAAACCTGTATTAAATCGAACACAAACATGTATTCCTGACCCTATAGTGTTAAAACCACCATCTAGCCACCCTGCAAAATTATACTAAATATAGCAAAATCTTACCTTTATTCCAGTCTGCTGCTGAACAAATACAATAAGCTGTATACTGTACAATAAGCTGTAGTTGTTCTGGTGACTATAGTGTCCCTTTAATGGGCTGTTTGTTGTAGATATATGGAGGATACCACACTCACCAGGCAACCAAGTTGCACCAGATCCGAGGATGGGCAAACCTCACTTCTAGATATGTAAAATAAAATAGTGGTCCAGGCACTCCAAGGTAATAGCCAAAAACAGCAGCTTTATTGGAGCAAAAACAGTAATGTTTCGACCCGGTCGGGTCTTTATAAGCTTGATAAAGACCCGACCGGATCGAAATGTTACTGTTTTTGCTCCAATAATGTTGCTATTTTGGCTGTTAGCAGTCCAGGCAGTCAATGTATTTTATTTTACATATAATGGGCTGTCTGTTGGTTGAGGAGCAGTTAGTGGGCTGTTTGTTGGTTGAGGGGCTGTTAATGTGATGTCTATTGGTTGAGGAGCTGTTGTGGGTCTGGTGCCTGTTAATTGTTTTTTGGGTTTTTGGGGAGCTGCTTATGGGTTATTTGTGAAAAGGAACAATGGTCAATGGTATGTTCTTTCTTTTTTTTTTCTCTCCAGAAGCTACATGTGTTTCTGTTCGAGGCTGTCCTGGTCCTCACACGCCCTGTGTCTCATAATGATCAGTTGCAGTACCAAGTATACCGGCAGCCAATTCCTCTGCTGGAACTGGTTCTGGAGGATCTACCAGATGGAGAGGTGCGAGTAGGTGGGTCCATACGAGGGGCTTTCACCACAGCTAATGAGAAAGGTATCTAACCTGCTTATGGTCCACAAAAAACTTCAATGTTTAAGTCCAATGATTTAATGAATTCTACCCATCTATTTAATATCTATAAGTTATCTGTATATTCTATTGATCCATCCTGTTATAAACATGAAATAGTATAGAACATATTATCCTACGTTGTTGTTATGATTATATCTGCAGCATCTCTCTTGCTATGGCTACTTATGATAACCACTATCAGTATCGTCTATTAGTGACTACCTAATCCCGGAGATCATATACAGTTAGTTAAGTGTCATTCTGTCGAGGTTTGGGCATTGAAATGAAGTAAGAATGGTATTTGTTTTATACATGGAGGAATCGCGCAGGAGATACGTGTTTGTTTGTTTGTTTTTATCAAGCAGTAACATTAGTATTTGTTAGTTATTCGTACACAGCAGTCGGTGAGCAATATGAAGTTACCAATTCAGCGCAAGGACAGAATCTCTATCTAAATCAACACATTTTACTCTTTTGCAGCCAAAAATTTTTTCCGTGTGAGTTTCCGGGACCGGTCGAGGGGACAGGCTCACACCTTGCAAGCCAATGACTCCTTTAACAAGCAGCAATGGATTAGCAGCATCCGGCAAGCCATGATATCCTGCCGAGAGCATGGCGCCAGTGAGGGACCCTCCCGTGAAACACCTTGTACCGTGATAGACATCTCTGACCTGAGTCTGAGCTGCCAAGAAGACTGCCAGGGCTAGATGTAATGACTGCTCCTTGCGGCTAAGCTTTCGACATGGAATTTTCAAGATATTTCTATGGTGTATGGTACAATATAATGGATAAGCGCCATATTGCCAGCTTGATTAATGGTATAGTCTCCAGGATGCAGCTGCCGACACATGTAAATAAAATGAAGCACAGAAAGCACCCAACCTCAGCCAACAAGACAGCTTGTCATCATCACCGCCATACAAAAAACGTGGAGCATTCACACCACGCAGCCACTGGATAGCGGGGGGCTGACATCACATTTCCCACTACCAGCCAATACAGAGACAGTTATGAATAAAAGGTTACATGTGGCCAATAGATCAGACACGGTCAATCAAACACAATATCAATAACCACTTTTATTTCTGATCATATTCCCTGAGGACGCAATATGTCCATCTACTAGAACTCTATTCTATGTACCCACTGCTAGCTCGACCACCTCTACTGCAAATGTATTCTCTGTACTGACTGCTGGCAAATAATAAGCCAATCGGCCATGAATAAAATCCAAGACATTGTGTGTCTAGCTGTTTGTCCATCTTTTTATTTTAGTAACGTTTTAGATCAGGGAGAACCCGCCGTAACGTCACTGACCAGACTCGGCGACGGCTGCACCTTCACTACTGAACTGGAACAGTCTCCATTCACTGTTAGTGGGTTCCATATCTCCATATCTCTATAGATGGCCAGGTATCTCTAACTGTGCCGCTGTGAGCGAGGTCAATGGCGGAGTTAATTCGTTTGATAACCGTGCCACAGTCCTCACAGTGTGCGGTATGTATGAGTGTATCACAGAGCTCCACAGTAATAAAACTCACAGTAATGTGCAGTGTGTATGTGGGTATCACAGAGCTCCACAGCAATAAAACTCAGTGTATGAGGGTATCACAGAGCTCCACAGTAATAAAACTCACAGTAATGTGCAGTGTGTATGAGTGTGAGTTTTATTACTGTGGAGCTCTGTGATACCCTCATACACACTGCACATTACAGTGAGTTTTATTACTGTGGAGCTCTGTGATACACCCATACACACTGCACATTACTGTGAGTTTTATTGCAGTGGAGCTCTGTGATACATTCATACACATTGCACATTACAGTGAGTTTTCTTGCTGTGGAGCTCTGTGATGCATTCATACACACTGCACATTACAGTGAGTTTTATTACTGTGGAGCTCTGTGATACCCTCATACACACTGCACATTACTGTGAGTTTTATTGCTGTGGAGCTCTGTGATACATTCATACACACTGCACATTACTGGGAGTTTTATTACTGTGGAGCTCTGTGATACCCTCATACACTGAGCTTTATTGCTGTGGAGCTCTGTGATACCCTCATACACACTGCACATTACTGTATCACAGAGCTCCACAGCAATAAAACTCAGTGTATGAGGGTATCACAGAGCTCCACAGTAATACAACTCACAGTAATGTGCAGTGTGTATAAGGGTATCACAGAGCTCCACAGTAATAAAACTCCCAGTAATGTGCAGTGTGAGTGTATCACAGAGCTCCACAGTAATAAAACTCACAGTAATGTGCAGTGTGTATGAGTGTATCACAGAGCTCCACATCAATAAAACTCACAGTAATGTGCAGTGTGAGTGTATCACAGAGCTCCACAGCAATAATACTCACAGTAACGTGCAGTGTGTATGAGGGTATCACAGAGCTCCACAGTAATAAAACTCACAGTAATGTGCAGTGTGTAAGAGGGTATCACAGAGCTCCACAGTAATAAAACTCACAGTAATGTGCAGGGTGTATGAGGGTATCATAGAGCTCCACAGCAATAAAGCTCACAGTAATGTGCAGTGTGTATGGGTGTATCACAGAGCTCCACAGTAATAAAACTCACAGTAATGTGCAGTGTGTATGAGGGTATCACAGAGCTCCACAGCAATAATACTCCCAGTAATGTGCAGTGTGTATGAGGGTATCACAGAGCTCCACAGCAATAAAACTCACAGTAATGTGCAGTGTATGAGGGTATCACAGAGCTCCAGCGTAATAAAACTCACAGTAATGTGCAGTGTGTATGAGGGTATCACAGAGCTCCACAGTAATAAAACTCACAGTAATGTGCAGTGTATGAGGGTATCACAGAGCTCCACAGTAATAAAACTCACAGTAATGTGCAGTGTATGAGGGTATCACAGAGCTCCACAGCAATAAACTCACAGTAATGTGCAGTGTATGAGGGTATCACAGAGCTCCACAGTAATAAAACTCACAGTAATGTGCAGTGTATGAGGGTATCACAGAGCTCCACAGTAATAAAACTCACAGTAATGTGCAGTGTATGAGGGTATCACAGAGCTCCACAGTAATAAAACTCACAGTAATGTGCAGTGTATGAGGGTATCACAGAGCTCCATTGCAATAAAACTCCCAGTAATGTGCAGTGTGTATGAGGGTATCACAGAGCTCCACTGCAATAAAACTCACAGTAATGTGCAGTGTGTATGAGGCTATCACAGAGCTCCACAGTAATAAAACTCACAGTAATGTGCAGTGTATGAGGGTATCACAGAGCTCCACAGCAATAAAACTCACAGTAATGTGCAGTGTGTATGAGGGTGTCACAGAGCTCCACAGCAATAATACTCCCAGTAATGTGCAGTGTGTATGAGGGTATCACAGAGCTCCACAGTAATAAAACTCACAGTAATGTGCAGTGTATGAGGGTATCACAGAGCTCCACAGTAATAAAACTCACAGTAATGTGCAGTGTATGAGGGTATCACAGAGCTCCACAGTAATAAAACTCACAGTAATGTGCAGTGTGTATGGGTGTATCACAGAGCTCCACAGAAATAAAACTCCCAGTAATTTGCAATGTGTATGAGCGTATCACAGAGCTCCACAGCAATAAACTCACAGTAATGTGCAGTGTATGAGGGTATCACAGAGCTCCACAGTAATAAAACTCACAGTAACGTGCAGTGTATGAGGGTATCACAGAGCTCCACAGTAATAAAACTCACAGTAATGTGCAGTGTATGAGGGAATCACAGAGCTCCATTGCAATAAAACTCCCAGTAATGTGCAGTGTGTATGAGTGTATCACAGAGCTCCACAGTAATAAAACTCCCAGTAATGTGCAGTGTGTATGAGTGTATCACAGAGCTCCACATCAATAAAAATCACAGTAATGTGCAGTGTGAGTGTATCACAGAGCTCCACAGTAATAAAACTCACAGTAATGTGCAGTGTGTATGGGTGTATCACAGAGCTCCACAGAAATAAAACTCCCAGTAATTTGCAATGTGTATGAGCGTATCACAGAGCTCCACAGCAATAAACTCACAGTAATGTGCAGTGTATGAGGGTATCACAGAGCTCCACAGTAATAAAACTCACAGTAACGTGCAGTGTATGAGGGTATCACAGAGCTCCACAGTAATAAAACTCACAGTAATGTGCAGTGTATGAGGGAATCACAGAGCTCCATTGCAATAAAACTCCCAGTAATGTGCAGTGTGTATGAGTGTATCACAGAGCTCCACAGTAATAAAACTCACAGTAATGTGCAGTGTGTATGAGTGTATCACAGAGCTCCACATCAATAAAAATCACAGTAATGTGCAGTGTGAGTGTATCACAGAGCTCCACAGTAATAAAACTCACAGTAATGTACAGTGTGTATGAGGGTATCATAGAGCTCCACAGTAATAAAACTCCCAGTAATGTGCAGTGTGAGTGTATCACAGAGCTCCACAGTAATAAAACTCACAGTAATGTGCGCTGTGTATGAGGGTATCACAGAGCTCAACAGTAATAAAACTCACAGTAATGTGCAGTGTGTATGAGTGTATCACAGAGCTCCACATCAATAAAACTCACAGTAATGTGCAGTGTGAGTGTATCACAGAGCTCCACAGCAATAATACTCACAGTAACGTGCAGTGTGTATGAGGGTATCACAGAGCTCCACAGTAATAAAACTCCCAGTAATGTGCAGTGTGTATGAGGGTATCACAGAGCTCCACAGTAATAAAACTCACAGTAATGTGCAATGTGTATGAGTGTATCACAGAGCTCCACAGCAATAAAACTCACAGTAATGTGCAGTGTGTATGAGGGTATCACAGAGCTCCACTGCTATAAAACTCCCAGTAATGTGCAGTGTGTATGAGGGTATCACAGAGCTCCACAGCAATAAACTCACAGTAATATGCAGTGTATGAGGGTATCACAGAGCTCCACAGTAATAAACCTCACAGTAATGTGTAGTGTGTATGAGGGTATCACAGAGCTCCACAGCAATAAAGCTCACAGTAATGTGCAGTGTGTATGGGTGTATCACAGAGCTCCACAGTAATAAAACTCACAGTAATGTGCAGTGTGTATGAGGGTATCACAGAGCTCCACAGCAATAATACTCCCAGTAATGTGCAGTGTGTATGAGGGTATCACAGAGCTCCACAGCAATAAAACTCACAGTAATGTGCAGTGTGTATGAGTGTCACAGAGCTCCACAGTAATAAAACTCACAGTAATGTGCAGTGTATGAGGGTATCACAGAGCTCCACAGTAATAAAACTCACAGTAATGTGCAGTGTGTATGAGGGTATCACAGAGCTCCACAGCAATAATACTCACTGTAATGTGCAGTGTGTATGAGTGTATCACAGAGCTCCACAGTAATAAAACTCCCAGTAATGTGCAGTGTGTATGAGTGTCACAGAGCTCCACAGCAATAAAACTCTCAGTAATGTGCAGTGTGTATGAGTGTCACAGAGCTCCACAGTAATAAATCTCACAGTAATGTGCAGTGTATGAGGGTATCACAGAGCTCCACAGTAATAAAACTCACAGTAATGTGCAGTGTGTATGAGGGTATCACAGAGCTCCACAGCAATAATACTCACTGTAATGTGCAGTGTGTATGAGTGTATCACAGAGCTCCACAGTAATAAAACTCACAGTAATGTGCAGTGTGTATGTGGGTATCACAGAGCTCCACAGCAATAAAACTCACAGTAATGTGCAGTGTGTATGAGGGTATCACAGAGCTCCACAGCAATAAAACTCACAGTAATGTGCAGGGTGTATGAGGGTATCACAGAGCTCCACAGCAATAATACTCCCAGTAATGTGCAGGGTGTATGAGGGTATCACAGAGCTCCACAGTAATAATACTCCCAGTAATGTGCAGGGTGTATGAGGGTATCACAGAGCTCCACAGTAATAATACTCCCAGTAATGTGCAGGGTGTATAAAGGGTGGCACAGGCTCCACAGTAATAAAACTCCCAGTAATGTGCAGTGTGTATGAGGGTATCACAGAGCTCCACAGCAATAAAACTCACAGTAATGTGCAGGGTGTATGAGGGTATCACAGAGCTCCACAGTAATAAAACTCACATTAATGTGCAGTGTGTATGAGTGTATCACAGAGCTCCACAGTAATAAAACTCCCAGTAATGTGCAGTGTGTATGAGGGTATCACAGAGCTCCACAGCAATAAAACTCACAGTAATGTGCAGGTGTATGAGGGTATCACAGAGCTCC